CCCGGTCACCCGGCGGGACCCCCTTTTGAGGGATCCGGAGGACTCCCCGTCAGGCCTGTTCGGGCGCCGCCCCGGGAAAGGAAGGGAGAAAGGCCGCCTGAGGCCTTGTCGTGCCTCCTGTGAGGGGGACGGACGGAAGGCCTCCGGTTCTCCTCAGCGCCCCTAGCCTGCCGCAGATGGGCCCCCGGCGGCCTTGCTTGGACCTTTAAACCGGCCCACCTCGAAGAGGCCTCCCGGCTCTCTCGCTATCGCCGTTCCCCCCTGGCAACCAAACTACAATACAGTACCTGGCAGGCCCCGTTGGGGGTGCGGGGGAAGATTTTTTTTTTTTACTTTTAATCTTCATTGCATTTTATTAAAAAGTTTTTTTTTTACTTTTAATCATTGTATTTAAAAAGAAGTTATAAAAAAATAAGCAAATCATTATCACAATATTAGCACATAACCAAAATAGCAGTAGCTTTCTATTCTCTTTCGCAAAACAGTTAAGTCTTTAACATTTTTTACTTCCTTATTTTCCACCAGACTTTTATTTTCTTCGCAACCTTAATAATACCATTCTTAATTCATATTTCATATCCACATTAACAATCTGCTTTATTTTTCTTTTTACTTCTGTTGAGAGCAGTTCTGCCTCTGATTTAAACTTAAGTCACAGGTTTTGAATCTTCTTCCTTCCATTTCTTTCTAAGATAACTCTTTACTTTCCCCCTTTGAGATTCGTGCTCCATTCTACTCTTTCCTTTCAGTGAGTCTGTTAGTTACTCCATTAAGTGTAATTCTTGTAATTTTATTAAACAATCCTCTACCGAGGATTCTTCCTTGTCTTTTCAATGTTTTGCCGCTTGAATTCTGGCTTTACCTAATATGGATAAACAAATTTTTGTCTCTTGTTTCGAGTTTTGCCTTGAGTTCCAGCCAGTCTTACTTAGTTCTCCTTGTGGTATTTTATTTTCTCTTTTATTTTCATATTCTTTTCTTGCTTTTAATTTGGTCTTTTCAATCACAAGCTCCCATTATGTTATCCTAAGGTCTTCTGTTGTTTTTCTCTTTTAAAAGACTCTCTCTGCTTGACAAATCCTCACTTTGCTTCTCACCTTGTTCTGTTCTTTGTAATCTTCCAAATCCCCTCCAGTTCTCTTAATTGTTAATTAACAGTCCCTCAAAAAGGTCTTTACTCACAGTATGTTTTGCATTCACACCTCCATCTCCGCTTTTAAAAATATAGTGGATGGTATGGCTTGGTTTCCATAGAAAACTCCTGGTTCAGAGTTGTGGCTGGCTTGCATATCCTCCTCCAAGAACTGGCAAGTCTGTTTTCAACTGGCTTCTATTTACAGATTTTTTTTCCCCCAAGGTCTCTCTGGAGTCAGTCTTCGGCTCCTCTCCCAGTTCCTCCTCTCCTGGAGGCAACTTTGAGTCAGCCAAATACTGTAATCTCTTAGCTGACTTAATCAGAAACCACCACAGCTATGATCCAGAATCTTGCTGCTTTTGCCAGCCACCACCCACCGGAAGATTTGAAGCCCAGGTTGTGCTTGTGGTGAATTATAAGGGGAAATGGGTGGTAGTGGTTTAATGTCACCCACAAACCATTCAGCCCACCAAGTAACCCCCACTCCACTCTTTTTTAAAGCCAATTCATGCCTCTTCTGGAAGCCTTTCCAGACAGTAGCTTAATAATAAAATCATATATATTAAAATAATAGCTGTCACAAAAATGGGGTTGGGCTTTTCTGTAATGGATGGGAAGTAGTGGCCCTATAACACAATTTCTCTCTTCCCTCTTGCTTCCTTAAACAGCCCTGTAAGAGAAAGAGTTGCTAATGGGGACTTAATTTAGGGCTGGACAACGGTTGCCCCCCCCACTCATGATATTGGATGTAAGTGATGTAGGTGGGATTTGCAGTCCAACAAGATCTGGAAAGTAGACTCCACTCCCCTTTAAAAATATGCTTATGATGTTCAAATTCTAGTTTTTATTGAGCTGATGGTAATGAAGCTGGGAATAGATTATTTATTACATCAGAAAAAGAGAAATTTATTTGACACCCTAGTAACCGATTTATTAGGATTCTGTAATGCTTTGCAAAATTTGCCGAAGCTGTTTAATTGTGGAATCAAAACGTTCTCAGTCTCCAGTCTTTGTATCTCTGAAGATTCTCAGTCTTCCAGGTGTGGTTATCTGGGATGGGTCATGGCAACTGGACTTCTTTCTTGTTAGGTTGAAACGTTTGGATACTCATCGTCGCCTCATCTTCAGTCTGAGGGGAGCTGGTAGGAGAATTCTGATATATCCTCCACTCTGGTTTCACTTCCCCATGGTCTGAATAGCTTCATTAGATGGACAAAGGACTTGGGGGGGGGTGAGTGAAATCCCACTTCTGCAGTTCTTCTCCACCCATTGTCATGGGTTGTTAATAGGATTTTTGGTAAGCACCACATATCTCTGCACTTCAAACACAATAAGGCAGGGACTCATGCACCCAAATGACCGGGCACCAAAACACAACAGGAGCAACATACTATATATGGTTGATTGCAGTGAGTCTGTTGGGAGCTCTACATTGGAGAAACCAAACAGCCACTAAACAGAAGAATGGCCCAGCACAGGAAGGGCAATGGCTCAGGACCACAGTCAGCTGTGTTCCTTCATTTGAAGGACAAAGGACACACATTTGATGACCAAAATGTACTCATATTTGGACCTGAGGAGATAGGTGACTTGAGAAGGCTCAGGGAGGCCATTCCTCAAGAAATGGCAATGGCTCATTTTGCTGAATAACGTTTTTATTATCTAACATTGGAGAACTGTGAACAATAACTTCTGTAGTACCAACAGTTCCTTCCAACCCCTTCCACTTAACACAACTGTCTTTCAACTCTGGAGTAACAAAAGAGTTCACCATTAGGGGTTCACTCCAAACTGCTCTCAATCTATTCGTGAAGGTTTTCACGGCCGGGATCTAATGGTTGTTGTGGGTTTTTCGGGCACTTTGGCCGTGTTCTGAAGGTTGTTCTTCCTAACGTTTCGCCAGTCTCTGTGGCCGGCGAAACTACACCAAGCAAACTACACCAGAGCACAGAGTGCTGTCCTCTGAAAATGAGACCGAAGAGCCCGAAAAACCCACAACAACCATGTTCTCAATCTGTTGTTTTTCTCAGGTAAGGGCATATGGTGCCGCAGAAGGGGTACTGAGCCCACTCTTCTTCCGTGGGTGTCACGAACAGATTGGTTGGGCTCCCCTCTTCCAGCGATCTCCTTTCTTTGGGTATACATATATACTGTCCATTCTATGGGTTCTGCTTCTCCCAACTGAATCGCAAATGCTTCTGTCCTCTTTCTCTTCCCCTCTGTCTTCCTCCCGCTTTCACTCAGGCGTGCTGGCCCTCTGATACTGTTGTCTTCTCTCAATTTCCTCCATTGGTAACTTCATCTTAACTCTCTCCCAAGGATCTACCGTCTCTGGCCATCCCCATCCTAAATAAATATCCTCATTTTTCTCTTCCTCCTCCTTTCTCTCCCTTGCTACCTCAGTCTCCCAATCTACTTCCCCTCCTATCTCTCCCTCGGCTGCTGTCATTAGATAACTCTCCAACACTGACTCCCTTTTCATCCCTATCTCCTCTTTCCCACTCTTTTCTCCTCCCCCCCACCCCAGTCGGGCTATGGCTAGCAACAGTGTGTACACCCTCTCCTCTGGTATCTCTCTGTGGTGGTTGCTTGAGGGGACGGTTCACCTTTCTGGCTGAGACCTATTCTTTCTCACTCTCACTCAACAGGGGTGGGGGGCCTTTGATGCAATCTGTCTCCTGTTTATCATGCTGCCTTTTATCCTTCCCAGAAATATCAGGACCACACCCACCAGAAAGACCAGTGTTAATGGCCCATTACAATGGGTGGAGGACTGCAGAAGTGCGATTTCACTCACACACACCCCAGTCCTTTGTCGAATCTAAATAAGAAAGAACTCCAGTTGCCATGACTCAACTTCAAGATCCGGTCTATGTAGTATTTCTTATTCCCTCAGAGAGCTGAGATCAGTTTGAATATGATTCATTTCATACAAGAAAACCTCTAGCTGCCTATAGTGGTCCGTGGGACTAGATAGGCGGAATATAAATAAAATAAATAAATAAAAATAAATAAATTCAGAGGTGTGCAGGATTGTTTTTGGACTACAATTCCCACAATTCTGCATGTAGCATGGCCCCTGACTAAGCTTCCTGAGTACAGTAATTCTGTTAGACAATAAAAATGAGGCATTTTTGTTACTGGTTCGTAGAAGCAACATTGTGATTAAACAGTATCTTTATCAGGACACTTAGAAAGGTACAAACAAAGTGAGAGTCTCCCTTTAGATCTGCTAGTTGCCCTGCTGCTGTTAAGCCACTTCAAAATATTGGCAAAGGTTACAGACCAAATAAGGTTGGGTCTGTATGCCATTTGCATGTGATGATTGCACCAGTGACATCCTGAACATACTAGTGACTCTGTTCAGCCTGTTTACACTGTGTAAACAAGCCTTTACCTCACTTTTGTGAGGACAAAAGAGCAAGTATGTGGATAAAGAGAAGGGGACCGTATACTGTATACAGTACAAGCTTGAACTCCTTGGAGGAAAAGTTGGGTAAAAATACCTAATACACCATACTGATTCA